TCGTGGAAGAACAATGATAAAACCGACGCGATTTAGATTGTTTAACTTTCGGACATTAGTAACACAACTGCTGTCTGTCTGTCTGTATCCAACTTTTAAGTAAAATGTTCCACCGTCATATCTACTCACGCGATTATGGACACTAAAGATTGGTGGGAGTTGACTGGTCCAGTATAGTCAATCCACGAAATACGATGGCCACTTGCGCATTTCCTTTGGATACCTAGTGCCACTTCCCTCGCGCATGGAGTAGAGCTGGTCTATTTAATATGACACGTTAGTCAAACTTGCAAGGAGGGGCAAAATTTCTTAACCCGAAACAGTAAAAGAATAAGGTTCAAAAAACACTGGCCTATAGTGGAAAATTAATTTAGTTAACTCTTAAATTCTTGTCTTAAGAATTCACTATTCAAATTTCCTAAGTTTTAAAAGCAAAACTACAATGAGTGTGACGAACATTGTTCTGTGTCTGGTCTAGTTTACTTTTTTATTGCCCTATAATGTCGACAAAAACATAGCTCATCTTTCAAGAAAAGTGTGTAGAAAACCTACAGAGTAAGTGCAGAAGGCTAACATGAAATGGAACTACGAGATCTCGTAGCAACAATTTACTGAAGACGTCAGTTTGACAGTTCGGAACTTGAGCACATGGGACAGTGGTCAGCACTGTATGAGCGGATACATGGTGTAACACACATAAGGTAGTTTAACGTTTTCTAATTAGGGATTTAAGCAGATGCAAGAGTTAATTGTTGGGTAAATACGGCATTTTAAAACGATTGTCTACCATGGTTACAATCTTCACCAAAGTAAATATTATTCGGTTGAATTTTACTGAGAAGAAAATTCATCTCACGGTGTTTACTTTTGAATTGTCCCAGTCATTTTATCCGCAGGAAAAAATTATGAACGCACCACTGACGCGCGGCTTGATGTTGTAATGTTCCGCAGTACGTCTATGATAGCGTTTCGAACGTGTCTCATCTTCCAGCAGTAAATAACAGGGTTCAGAGATGAATTCAGAAATACAAAAATCGATGAGAAGAGATTAAGTCTCTTAAGAGCAATAGTCGGTCCACAAATAGCAATACCAACTACATAGGCAACAAACGGCAAATAGCAAATCAAAAATACAAGGTACACGTAATAGACACCAACCGCAGTCCTGATAAGGCTTGTCAAATATGTCATTTCACCAACCCGTTGAATTTGTTCTTCATACGCTTCCTGTACTTGCAAGGACTGTATCTGATTCTTGTGGCGTCTTAGAGTGAAATAAATCCTAGAGTACGCAATTTTTGTCAGTAGAACACAACCAATTCCGACAAAGCTTACAGAAATAAAACGGATAGTATTAGGGACCCACAAGATCGAAAAAGCAATGAAGAAACTAAGCAGCCACATCGACATGACCACGGCAATAACACGCCTGTGAGTCACAAGTTCCTGGTATCTGAGATGAATATGAATAGCTAAGAACCTGTCTACGCTTAAGGCTATGACACCAAAAAACGAGGCACCGGAAAAAACGTGCGATATGACATCGAATGCCCTGTAAGTAGGACAACCTGGGATGCTATGCTGTAAAACTCTGACCAAAATTGAAGTGAAAAACGGCTGGACAACCAAACCTACACCAACATCAGAAACAGCAAGACTCAGAAGAAATGTTTTTAAAGTATTGGATAACAAGGAGGTTTTTCTAATCGCGTAGATGGTTATAATGTTCAACACAATGGTGGTACAAGAGAGGATACTGCTTAACACACAACATATGATGCTGGTCGAACGAAGATCGTCAACATCGGACATTTGCAGCAAAAGTTGACAAGGTAACATGATAGACAGTGGGACTCAATGCCTCTTTTTCAAAATGCGATGAAGTCAAACAGATTCTTTCAGGATGCAGAGGTGTAAAAACGATCCCCAACGAATTTCTCGTTAATAAACGGCAAAAAGTCGACAATCGTTTTATCTATACGCAATACTTATGCTTAATTATGCATTGGTCTTCAGAATTTTAATTAAAAAAGGAAACACAGTATGCCAGTGGCGAAAATATTTGTTCATTAGCGAGGGCATGTGTTTGTTAGATAACTAGTTTTGCTTCTCGAAATGTGGAAATTTTCGACGGACACGGCAAACACAAAATTTAATTATTCAACCTTCCTGCTCAGGGTGAATTCAGGAGTTTGGTACGCACTGAAGTGGCAAATAAAAACCTTTTAAGAAATTCATTAAATCATACAAACAGTCACTCCTGTCCGTAACTTTCATTATAACCAAGAGCCCATTAATGGGCTCCTGTCATATCTCCGTCAGCAGGCTCCAAAACAAATGGAAATACAATATATATTGCGCAGTTAGAGCACTTCTAGCAACGGAAATTGAGAACAAGAAAGGCAGAGACACTGTAAGAGCTACTCTCAATCATAGCGGGGATAAGGGAATAAATGAAGAAAAAGTTAAAAATATTATGTAAGAATATTCCTGTTTGATCCATTGGTCTCAAAGCAATAACACAAAGTAGGTTTTCCAGCCTCGTGCGTCATAAGGATATTTCAACAGGGATCCCACCTCTCAAATGAGGTTCTGAGTGGAGCCCTGGGCTTAGAAGCCGAACTTGATGAAAAAAATCCAGAAGTTGATTTAAAGAGAAAATGAAGAAGATACAATTATTAAAAAAAATATACATGCTATGGGAAATGTTACACCTGAAAATCTTAATGTCGGTAGAAATAACCTGTCACTGCAGTTAATCATAAAAAACTTAAACTTTAAATAAAAGCCATTAAGAAATATCCATCACCAAATTATCCTGCGTAATTACACTGTTCAAAAAGGCACTTTTTCGCTTCAAAAAAATGTATCTGAAATGTATAAGTTTCCTTTCCCTTAAGCAGAGTTTTCCTACTTTTATTCTAAAGGTTTATTATATGGACCAGAATTGTTTTTCTTTTCCTCTCCCTTTCTGACGACTTCGTTTAACCAACAAAGACGAAACACTAGCCCTGTAGGTCTTTATTACTAGAGCCTTAAACTGATATTAAAAAATTATTGGATGAAGTTTTCATGATATCCAGAATAATCAAAGTCAAGGTGGGGGTTATCAGCCGAAGCTGGAGGCTAAGAATGGTAGCCCTTCACGAGAAAAAAAAATGGTCACAATAGCGGTAAGTGGAATGGACAATTTATTTCTAAACGTGTAAAAACATAAAAATCATCAGCACATACTTCAATTGACGAAAAAAGTCTAAGCATTCATTTGACAATATGTGAATAAAAGCTGGTTGAGAAAGTAAATAGCAGTAAATAAGCTTAACAGAAGTAAACATTACAATTATAAAAAGCGAAATTCAACTATTTTTTCGATGTCTCGTTAGGTCAACGAAGTAGACCTGAAAGTCATGTTTTTGCTTCTTCACTGACGGCAAGAAACACAAAGCGCACGAACTTGACATGATTACCCCTAGAAATCATGCACCGCGGTCACACATAACATGATTACCCCAGACCTTGAGTGACCTCGACACGATTATTGTTTCATCTATAACTAGATGACGTCCCAGGCGCTGATTTCGAAAATTCACTGTATACGTTTTCGGCCAACCAGAAAACAGATAATTAGTCGAATGTATAATTATACATATTTTCCATTATGTTGTCAGAGATCTAGCGAAAAAAATCTAATTCATAATTATTGTAATCCACCTTTACACAAAGTAAAGTTGCAGCAGTGAAGAAGAATAAAAATTTAGAGTCTTGGCACCTCACGTTAACGTGATCACCGGTACCTCGATAGTTAGTTTCCCCATCCCTGCGTCACGACAATGTATTTCGTACAACGTGACACTGCCTTCGATGGGGTTTCTCGAGGCGCAGTATCAACAGCTAGCTACAGCCACAAATGTCCACGTTCGACAGCTTTTAAATTTGTCGTAGAGTACTTTTGAGAGTTATGCTGATTTATGAAGTTGTGATTAACTTAAAACAAAACGTTTATTTACAGTTACTTTTAATTGCATTGATACAAAACAAATTTTATTCGGTTTCCCGATGGAAATCTCAGTATCATAATTGCCTTGTTCTCACCTTTGCAATCCACAATAAAGACTCTTTTAACAGCCCAAACAATACTAAATTTCCGTGCCACAAGGGTAAGTTTAGTCAATGTAATAGTCCTCTTTCCCAGGTTGTATCCTTGGAAGAACGTCGCCATGTTGTTTTTGTTCTACATCGTTTCCCTCGGTCAGCTGCGATACAGAAACCGAAGCAAAGTTATGTGGTGTAACCATCATGGCGTGGGGTTACACCTTAAGCGACGTGGTCGCAAAGCATCTTCGCCGGAAAATGAAGATCTTCAAATCTTTTCTGGAGCGTCATTTTAAGAAGAAAATGCGGAACACATTGATAAAGTAAGGCACGTACACACAACTCTAAAATCAAGGTTTGCTTGTATGAAACGCACAAATTGAAATGTTCAATACTCCGAAACGATAGTATGATTCTCGTCTTGGTTATGGTTAGGGGTAGGCTTTAATTTGTTTTTCTTTTTTTGAAGTGTTAAGGAATTAACCCAGGGTTCATATCGGTGACATGAACTGTAGAAAAGACGAAAAAACCGGCAAACTCTCCGTCGGCTTCTCTTTGGCACCAGACTTGTTAATAGCGTTAATCTTTTCTAGAGATTCCCGGCCATGAGATGTCAAAAAGGAAAATTAATATGGAAGTAGAGGGGAGATACATCCTGGCTGAGCAAGAAATATTATCTTGATAGAGAACGAAGCTCTAATGACCAATCATAATCAGTATGAAGGGAATTAATTTATCGAGACTTTGCACCAGTAGTGGTGTCCTCAGTGATTATATCAATCCTGCGCATGGCGTTTTTCCTTCAAGAGGACGGGGTCACTGTTCAAGGTTATTGTACCGCAGATGTCGAAGACTGTCAATCGCATACAGCACAGAAATAAGGTTTAATTCTCCACCTTTATTCATAATAATTTTAAATAATAATGGAACTGGTGTGATATTCCAGCGACCTTATTCACGCACGTGAGAACATCTCCAGTATAAATAACTCAAGAACTGGCCATGTCAACGGCTTAGAACCGACAGCAGTTCATTCAGCACCTGTCCACTGCTTGCGTATGCAAATAGCCGACACAGGCAAATAAAAAAATTACGGTTGTATCGATCTTATTCTGACAGTAACAGCATTATCTTTGATTCAAGAAATATTGCTCCACCCTCGCAATAATTAGTTAAAAGAATAAAACCAGTAGCAACTTACTCTTCGCCTACCCAATCGTTTAAGGAAGCTTAAATGTTCTTACTTTGGCTTCTCATTGACCTTTCATATTGTTTTTCTCTGTTCAGATTTGCCGTTGAGATTACTTTGGTCTCTGTTTTATAACAGTTGACCGAAAAACACTCTTATTTAGTAATCTTAGCTCTACCTTTGTTGTTTAGTAATTAAGACTCAATCAATAAGCTTTTGAAACATGAATTCATTTTTCACCTTTTCAGCTACGATTGTCTCACATTAACACTTTGGTTTATAGTAATTCCAAGAAGTGTAAGACAACTGAAGAGAAAAGGTCAGAGCAGATTTGCAAACAAAAGGAAAGGCTTTGGAGACAAAATTTAACTGTGATACATAGCACCTCTCATAAAGAATGCAGGTCGTCACGTTGAGGAAAATACGACATTTTTCAATTTATTTGTTCAATTTACTTTCTTGAGGTTTTCAAGGACTCAAAATAACGAATATACCACTGCATAGCAGCTTTCCAGAATTCATAAATCTTGCATTGTGCATTCAAAAATATAAATAACTTTTAAAACCCTTTTTCGATAACAATATATCTTTTTTGCTTTATAATTTACAGCGTCACTGATTTGTCCTTGTTATTATGGCTTCAGTACTGCCTTGTCCAAAGCCTTCTGGAAACTTTCCAACGCTCTCCGGAGACTCAGACAAAATCCGCGAGAGAGTGGAAACAAGGGATAATCGGGGCCGATCTTTTCCCACGAGGTCGCACCTTGACATACGCTCTCGTTCTCGGTTTTCGAGGTTTTGCCTTCGGGAGATGGATCTAGACAACTCGCCCCTTTACCCTCGGGGTCGTTGGCTTCGTTCGTAACGTCATTTTCAGCGACGCAGTTCTTTACAAGTTCATTTTGTCCTTGCCCCTCGTTTGGTTCTAGTCTTCCCGCTGAAGAATGACCGTTCAACATCTGTTCGTTATCGCATCCCGGTACAGACTTAGTTCGCGTTGCTTCTGCGACGATGACGTCATGGACGGTTTCTTCTATATGTCTCAGTTCACCAGCCGCAACATAATCCTTAGGGTCGCCATTTTCGCATTCGGACAGTGTTGTCTCCTGCTCGTGGAAAAGATCAATCCACCGCTTGAATTTTTGTATCATTCTGTGAAGAGGTAACAGAAATGGTCATGATTATGGCTAAAATTTTTACGGAAATATCTTGTTGCAGTCAAGGTACAAAGCTATCAACATCTCATGTCTAAGACGAACTATGCCCTCTTTCGAGTAGTAATTTCCCCAACAAAAAGTGTTGTCCGGCTTGAACTTTGAGTCAAAGTATTCAAAAACCAGCTGAATAAGTCGAGGTTCGAAAGACAATACTTAGGTCACCAACCTTACCGACAACTTTGCTCCTGCGGTTAGGACTGTAAGTGGATAATGAAGACCATGGCCTAATTTAACTCGAATCTTACTCCGAGAGTCCACGCTATCTCTGCTAGAGGTTTTACTTTTACCACGACAACTTCAAGAATTAATCTATAGCAAAACAGCTAGTTTCGGTACACATACTGTGTGTATCAGCCGCCTCGACCTTTGCCTGCATGTCTGTCCATCTGTTAGTCTGTCAATCCGTCTCTGTCTCTGACCAATAGACGGACGCACAAGAATGTCTATGTAAATCAACTAAGAGCTAATTAAACAACTACCGACGGATGAGTTATTGATATCGGTCTCTTAATCTGCATGCCTGACTGACCGACTTGCTAACTGACCAACTGATGATATCTCACCTTGCTCCATGATGCGCGAAGTGCTGTAATATTTCTTTTTCCAAGCCGCTTGGAGGTTTTGTGACAAGTTTCTCCATCGACTGGACCAGTTTCAGTAAAACCATTTCATTGTAAAGGCGACTATTCTCCAATCCCTGCGCGGTTCCTCTCTGTTTTTCATACCCAGCTTCGTTGTAATATGGTTCACTGCATAAAATTAGTCCTGGAGGGAAGTAAACTAGCATTAAAATAAGGCTTGATCGTAAAAAAAAAACTGTACAGAATACAATTAAAATCGATTTTGTCCTTAAAAATGTCTACCTACTCCTCCTGAGTGTAATTCTAATCCTTTGCAATTCACCCCTCTTCGCAAAATTTAAGATTTTTCTACCAGTTGTTTGGCAACAATTGCCAATTTTTGGTTGTGATAGAAATGTCGACAAGAATGAAGCATGAGGAACACTCACCATCAAAAAATTGCAATGCATTACCTTGTATTGATACTAAAACTTGAAGCACGTTCGACTTTGACGTCCAAACCTCGCTTCCACGCCCGGCCCAGGTTCCCAGTAGACTCACACAAACCTTGCCGTCTTCGTAAAGGTTTGGATTTAAACGACCGGAGCACTGGGACAGGTAGTAGAACACAGGGGGAGAGGCAGGGTAATCTGGCGGCAGCCGGACATCAAAAACAAACAGTCCATGTTCGTATGGGGTTCCCACAGGCCCAGTGATCATGACCCTTAGAATATCCTGGTGCAAAAATAAAAGGGGCTTATTAAGAACTCTTGATAAAGGTCATTTCAACGCAGGACTGCATTAAAAGAGTACCTATATTCACGAGTATCTTGAACCTGACGATGAAGGCTGAAAGTTCGGACAATTAACAGATCACTTCAAATCATTTCTTAGGCATAATACAATACGACCAACTCGATATGGTCATAAAAACCTAACGTAGCTTCAAATTTGAAAAGACTAAAATAATGAGGTATATAAGAGAAAATAAATGCATTTTAGTAACAAGTAAGACTGGCTTAAAGTAGAGGATTCCCAGAGAGACAGGAACAACCGTAATGATATTAAACGGAATGCTCAATATTTGCTGATGACTTGATGCAAGAGGCGATTTCAACCCAAAATTTATTGTGTCAGCTAATTGCCAGGTAGAACTGCATGTTACAGATTTTTTGGTTACTCTCCAACCCTTCACTCATCGTTTGACGCAATATACGACCATTTTTTATAGAAAAAGCCGATCGCTTCGTGCCAAATGACTTCACTGTAGCAACACCGCGTCAAAAGTCGTCTAGTTTAATGACCCACTCACTGTTTTCATGTCGTGAATATGTACTAGCATCAAAGAGATGCATAGAAATTTTTTTGTTTTTTCTGCTCTCTCTCTCTCTGTCTGTCTGTCTTCCCTCTCTATAACACTGATAAAAGGACACTCACCACACGATTCTCGTATCCTCTGACTATGATTCCGGCTGGAAGTGAAAACATAAGAAGAGCCATCTCTTTTCGCAGACACGACAAGAAGCGACCAGGATTTTGCGCCTGGAATGTGGTATGAAAGTAGATGTGCTCTTCAGGAACATTTTCGAAAGTCATAAAAGCTGTGAAGTGAAAAAAATTATCATTTGTTAAAATTAATGTCTAATGGCATGAATATGGAAATTAATCAGAGACGTTTACATGGGCGCCTGTCAAAATCAAACATTTTAAAATGTTTCAAAGTGCATTACCAAGGACAAATATCTGAGTCTCATTTTCCGTAAAACGCTCAAAAATATTTTACCAGGATTTGTATTTGACACAATTTCGTTGATCCTGTTGTTCGCCTCCTGTAGGACCTCTCTGTCGACATTCTCCTCCTCACCAGCTGAGGAGCCGTGCCTTGGCACGTGATCCATGATGTCAATAGGCCCATCTTCTTCAGTACTCTCCCCACTCGTGGTCTCCCATTCATCATCTGATGCCATGGTGGAACCATCTGATGACAGCTGTCCATCGTCCTAAAACGTCGGTCAATCATTTAATTAATAGATGTCAGTAACGCTTCAAAACGCTTGGAAATCCTGTTTTAACACTCCACCTGGGTTAAATCACGCTAGGCGCGAACAGTACAGAAGCTTCACTTAGCCCGGTGGCAGAATGCGTGGAGCAGCAAAGCATGGAAAACAAGGACATCAGAACGATATGCTCAGTTAAACTGTCACATTTTCACAAAGTACCCTGAACAACTGACATTACCTCGGTATCAAATTTGTACAGCTCCTGAGGTTTAACTTTGGAGACCGTGCCGTCCACCCATCGGATGGACACACTGCCTTCGTCGTCCACTCGTGTGACCTGAAGATATGGGAAATATAAAGAAACTGAGATAAAGGGGCTGATCTGTGAATTCACAAACTGTTACCTGACTTCCAAAGAACTTGCTTAAAGTCACCCTACCTGACCTATACATGAAGTTGTTGTGTCAGAATTCTGATCGCCCTCGTTTTCATAGTCATCCCTTGCCATGCGCACCACAACATCTCCTACGCTGAACACGAAATCCGTATGCTCCGTGATGTCGTACACGCTCACGTCACGTTCCACACTCAGTTCTTCACCATCTCGCGAGAACCACTTGATGTAACACAAGCGTGACTGATGGTCAGCAGTGAGTACGACACCATACTTTGACGAATCTGCATTCTCTGTGTAGATAACATTGTCGCAAAATGGTAATTACTTCCAAATGTGGGGTTTCCTTACCTTTCAAAAATAAGAACCTAACATAACCTCTATTTAGAAAAGAAAAGCAAGCACAATATTCGCGCACGACTGAATGAATCAGCGAAGATCTTAAAGAAAGAGCCAAACATGCCAAAAAACTAAGTAACGTTTTAAGGCTCTAGAATTTAATAATTCTCTCTTTTCATGGTGGCCGAGATGGTAAGTTTGGGGTCCTTTAAGGTCCGACCAAACACACGCAACATCTTGAAACGTTTTTGCACGCAACGCGTTCCACACGTTAAGCCACCCTATAGCAACATGCTGCAACATGTTTCAAGATGTTGGATGGTGTTAAATAAAATCTGAAAATAGTCAAATTTTTGTTGCAACCTTTTTTAATGTTGCAAGATGTTGCGCGCTTTTGGCCACTGAGCACTTTCACAACATCTCGCAGCACGGTACAACAATGTTACAAGATGTTGCGTTGAAATGTTGCGTGCATTTGAGTGGGCCTTTCACCGCAAGGGCTAGCAAAGGATTAAAACTGATCATTACATCAGAGCAGTTTTCGATTGAGTGTCGAAAGTACAGCTGTAAACTAACCTAAAGTACATATAGTTAAAGGGATTTAAGTAATTCCGAACTGAATCTTCGAATTCCTTCAAGAAAAGACACGTTTAGATTTAATACATAACTGACCCCTTTTATCAGACACATAATCTCCTGGAAAGAACTCCAACTCGTCTAAGTGAAACACTGGTATCAAATCCGTGGATAACACCTTTTCCTGTTTGGAGCCATCCTGCCAGATAACATCCACTGTGGTACAAGTATTTGACACTTCCACACACACCTTGTCACCGACCTTCACTTGCAAGGGTGGAGCTACTTTTCGCTTCCTTCTTAGACGCTTCTTCCTTCGCTTAGTCGGGTAGCGTACCCCATGGGACAGACCAGAGTCATGTTTAAGAGCACCAGCAATATTTGCGCCTTTTACTTTTGGTATAACAACTTCAAGACCGTCCGAATCTTCATCTGCATCTGCATCTGCTTCTGCGGAATCAGAGCCGGTGGTATGAGGCTGCTCGTCATGTGTATCCACCTGATTAGCTCCACTCTGAGCTAATCCTGTTTCAGAAGCCTGAGAGGCAGAAGGGTCTTTCGTAATTGAGGATGTTTCTGTGGGCGCAGGAAGATTGGAGTCGCATAAAGAAGTTACCGACGTCGATGAACTAGAGTTTTTGGATTCACTTTCAGCTGAATAGAAACTCCCTGAACTCCCTCCAGAGCTCAAACTCGCACTGGCACCTGTTGTTGTACTCTCCTGAGAATCACCTAATTCTGCTTTTCCACTATTAGAGGTCTCTTGCTTATGTACACTACACCCGTCTATCTGACTGTCGGATACTGGATTGGTAGGCGCACGCTCGCTGAGCACCTCAAGTCCCTCCGTATTCTCATCATCAAAGCTTTCCTGTTTGGATGAAAAGTTCCCTCCACTCGCGGCAAGTCTTAGATCGCGAGCTTTCAATGTATAGAATGCTTTGTCCCCAATCTGAACGCTTGCATGTCGAAAACGGTTCGCAACGAGTAGCCTGAAAAACAAATTTATGACAAGATAAGAGTCGAAATTGACTGTAGGTACGTCTGGTCCACAGCCAATCCCAAAGAAGAGAGAGGAAAAGGAAGGAACAGTAAATTCTCTTACCATATATACATGGTATCTTTGGAGAAGAGACAAAACTAGTTTCAAAATTGGCGATTAACTTATTTCAGACCAACTCATTTCCCCTCAGAGTCAATTACCTAACATCACAAAGCAGATAACTCGTACATAAAGAAACCCAGACTAGAAGGAATATAGTACTGCAGTGTATTGCAGTACAGAGCTGGGTAAAGATGACCCTGATTTCAGATCTGAAAGCTTAAAAAGAAAATTCAGTATAATTCCCTTGGTCTACAATTTGATGATTGGATGCTCAAAGAGGAAAAGAAAAATTACCCCAAAACCGCTTTTGAACCAAGGAATAAAGAAACCCAAATTAAAATTTAACCTTAGGTTGGTGTCAATCGGCCTTTCAACAACTAGGCCCAGAACGATCACTAACCTGTGAAGTTGTTCCTGTGTTACTGTGGGATCAGGTGGTTTAAGACATTCATCTTCTTGGAAATTATTTTGGCACGCACCACAGATCTGCCAGTCTACATCACACGCAATAATACTTGCCTGATGTTAATAAAAATAAAATAAAATTAGATCACACCCCTTAAATTGGACTACAGGTCTAATTGCAGAAAACCATGAACACTAGACATGTTTCTGAAATGTTTTAGTGTCTAATGCAATTGCAAAAAATAATGCCAATTTGTTTGTTGTTTTGTGGTTTACTTACCATCCTCATCCCTTAAGTAATTGGCAACAACAGAAAAGACATGCCCAACATATTTCAGGTGTTCATGGTTTTCTAAGTTTAACAACAACACTACAAACGTTTTTTCAAATTATACAAAGCTCTGATTTTTCCACCAGGGCCCAGTTGTATAAAGGTTGGATAACGTTATCCAGTGGATAAGTGATAACAAAACGTCCAGCATTATCCACCGTATAGAGTTTTATCCAGTGGATAGCGTTATCCAACCTTCAAACAACCAGGGCCAGAAGAAGACAAATTTAAAGAGCGGGAAAAAAGTTTTGGTTCTGCTGACCTCCTCCACAGTTCCTTTGATCTGGGCTTGATTGTGAATGACAGGCTTCACTCCTGATAGCCATTTAGCTTCTTTAAATGCTCGTGAAGGACCAGCAACCTTCTGGCCCGGATAAAATGATGCAGAATAGAAAGGGGAATCCTAAAAACATGGAACAAGATGCAAAGTAATCAGCAGGGAAAGGGAAGAATGAACCTTTCAAAGAACAAGTGCAATGTTTAGGACAGTACAAAAGGTCATATTCCATGCTCCAAACATTGCTTTTACCAGTCCATTTGTATGACTGACAGTAATATTGATGGTACAATAAATTATTTATACGTGTAAAAGTCTTTTTAAGTCATGGTGTTGATGTTGTAGTTTGAAATGAACTTAGGCTACCAGTAAGTGATTTTTATTTGGTTTAAATTATATTTCCTTTTGTTTCCATTAAATTTATGCACAAGCAGTTCTACAACACTTGTCTCAGCCTGCTGCATTTAATCAAATGTATGTAATGAGCTTAATTGCACCCTGCAAAAAAAATTATGGTACATAATAAATTAAATATCATTATTAGAGCATACTTGAAATTAAAACCAAACCAAATCATCCTTCATGAGTTCATGTCATTACACAAATAATAAGGACCTTAAGTAGTCATGACTGAAACACTATGGAAAAAAAGGATTTAAATACTGGATTTGTATTTTCTTTACACAAATTTTAAAGATTTCACTTGATTGTTTTGGATTGAAGTGCTAGGAAAAGTGCAAAATCTTAACACAAATGTGCTGAGCAATTGGTCAGCTTGTCAATCTTTTGTTTGGCCCCAATCCCACTGTCACCATCATGGTTTGCATAGGGTCACTGAAATTGAGTTACCTCATCACGTTGATCACTTGTGTCATAAATCATTGAAGCCTGCTCTCCTTCCAAACTGCATCTGTATTTCGCACACAATTTTTGAATTTGTAAATTGAATAGTTTACTCACTATCAATGGTGTATTATAGAAAAAAAATAAGCAGTTGGTGGACTTCTTCTTCCCAAAACTATACAACAGTCAGATGTATTACACTATTGTACATTGTACAGGGCCCAGTCGATCAAAGGGTGAATATGGCTATCCAATGGTTAAATCTCTATCCAGTGGATAAATGTAAACAAAACATACTGTGCTAACCATAGACATTTATCCACTGGATAATATTATCCACACTACAAACAACCAGGGCATGATGTACTGGACCCTGAGAAATAAAACACTGACTAGTATCTGTCATATGCATTGTACAACTGAAATGGAAGCAGCTATAAAAGTGACATGTTTTAAACTGGATTTTCACTGTATCAAACATGTATTATACAAAATATCATGCGCAGTCCTGAAAACTATCAAAGCACACAGATGCTGGTAATATGTAGGATCCTCATTTGCCTTAAGACATAGAGCAATATAACTAAGATACTTCAAAGCAAGCACAAATGCACCTGGAGCCATTCTTGATTCTTAGTACAATCTTGCGATAAACCTCAGTGACTATTCCAAGCCAAGGGCCCAGGCTCACAGGTAATCCAGGAACAAACTCCTACATAGAAAAAAGTGTAAGATCTAGCATTCACTAAAGGTAATCACAGTACATTTCAAAATTTGTACCTGATGGAGCAGTCATTACTTTTAATTTGTACATACAATTGAGAGTAACTTCCAATGGAATGTCTGAAGAAATCCATTGATTTTGCATCAGAATGGCCTGTAATGGTCTGGGTTATTAAACTAATACCCCATTCACACCAAAGCTTAAACATGTTTTAAAGTTGTTTTGTTAAACATAGTTTAATTTTTTTTCTTCGTAGAAACTACTGAACCTAATATTTTTTACTTTAATGTAGCACATTATAAATGCAAGTTAGCAAGTACTTGAATCCTATGGAAAATTAAGTTTTTCAGTTCTCTGTTTATGATTTTCAATCAGTAAAAACCAGTTTAATAAAACATATTTTGCTGGTGTGAATAGGGTATAAGCCTCTTGACCAATCAGACACAATAAGAAAACCACTTGCCACCTTGTCATCCACGTTTTCTTGTTCTTCAGGGTGTTTACTTGTTTTTACTTAAAGTCCTAAATGGTTTTCTGTTCCATTTTCCATCACTCTTATTGAACTTACTTTGGTTTTAGTTTTATGACAGAATAGCTTGATGGTCCGAGATTCAATTCCTTGTGAAGACTCAGAATTTTTTATTTGTTCCATGCTCCTAGTAGTATGCAGGACACTTACAAGTCAAATAAACTTCATAGTAGACCTCACTCACCATAGAGTCTCTGTGGCTCTGTGGTAAAGCATCAGAGTGCTGAATCTGAAGGTCTGAGGTTTGATTCCTCGTAGGGACTCAGAATTTTTTCCTTTGTCCCATGTTCATGACAAGACAAAAAACATCTTTCTCTAGCTCGACAAATTGTTTCTTAGTTTTCGTATTGATGAATCCCATGAAGGAAATCACCACTAACTGACACTCTAGGGTCTGATACACCTTTCAGAGCTAACCCAGAAAAGTGTGGTAAATTTATTAGCTCCTAGAACCATCATTACAAAAAAGGGAGTTGTCCAACAACCCTGAAGATAAGCATGAGACAACCTGTGGGGACCACATAGAGCACTCCACTTATCAATCTATGTGTTGGAAACTTTGATAGTTTTGATTGGGTGAGTCAATTTCCTTGTGCAAAAGACACAACCTATACATGTGTTTTACAAATACCTGTAAGGGAGAAAGTTCTTTACAGTCCACGTTATGAAAATTCTGGTTGGCCACCAGAACATTGACACTGGCAACAACTTCAACATTGCAGACAAATCCTTTCTGGGTTCCTTTCTGCACATCAGAAAACTTAACAACATCACCTGGAAGGAGAGACCTGTCTGCTAGTTTGACCTGAAAAACATATCAAAGCTTATTGATCTCCATAATGAACAATAAACAACTCAAGGTAATTAGCTATACAAGGATGCCCCACATAAAGAGCCACATGTTCCCTTTTTGGACTAGAGGTAAACAGAAAGGCAGGAATTTCCTCAAACACAAAAAGAACTAAGAGAACTACCACTGACACATCCAAAAGAGAGCAACGGCTCACATTAAGGTGAACAAGATAAACACTTGAAAAAGTAAAGTTCTCAGTTTTTGATCCTTACAATGCTCTGAGAATGAAGTGCGATGCAATTGCTATCTGAAAGCACAACCAATTTCTAGGTGAGAGGTATGAAAAAGGATACCTTTTCAGTTAATGGTAGTTCATGCATGCAGTAATAAAAGGTTATGAGGTTTGAACTCAGTGCAGACCCTCCCTCTGTACCAAACTATAATGGGTGAACAGTTCCTGCCCTCCCCCTCCCCCCCTCCACTATCACTAGGTAACACCATAAGGAGGTGACTCTGAACTGACTTTGTAACATGTTCTCAAAAATAATTCACAGAACAAAACACAAGAAGTTGGGAACTGAACCCACAAGTGTCAGACTGATTTTTAACAAAGTCAGCAAGATTCTGATCATTTCACTTATTCATTGACCTAACCATTTAATAATGTTAAAAACAAGACCTTATACAATGACAAGTCTGTAAACATTTAAAACAAGAGTTGAAAAAAATATATTAAACCGGAAAACATGTAAATCTGCATAGCTTACATTGTGTGAATTTCAGTGGTTAATGTTTTAAAAAATTAGGCACGAGAGTAACGATTTGGAAAGGTGTGGGTGTTTTACCTCACCTTTCTTTTTTTTATAATGTACACAGTGAAGAAAAATGTTTGCCTTTTATGTTTTGTTCCAAAAATAAATTTAAAAAAGTCGATTAAACGAGTGGTGTGCAATATCGAAATGAAGTACCTTATATTTGTTCAGGTGTTCGACAAGCAAGGCGGAAAAACCCAGGCATAACCTTATCAAATCGGAAATACTTTTTAAACAAATACATCCTCACAAAAGGTATGGAGCACATGGAAAAAAGGGAGCAAACTCTAAATTTTCTGTTGAATGTAAATCGAGGAAGTTGTTAATATTTTAGCTCATCCTTTAACACGTTTCAAAACAATATCGCAATACAAAGTGCCTTTACTTACAATTTAGAAATTATCTCCCTAAAGGCCGGAGCCGTATCAATTGCGATTACGTCAAAAGGTTTAAAAATCGGTCTCATTAGGTAAGAATGATTGAAAAAAAAATAGCGAAATATAACTCAAGTACGGCAAAAGTTCTACTTAAACGTGAAGAACTGAAAGATTAAATAAAAAATTACCTTGGTAAGCGACAAGGTTTCTTCGTTCCCTGAAGGGTACCAACACACTACGATGTGACCCTTCTTGAGCGCCTCTTCTTCGCTGTCCGATTCATCAGATGTTTCTTCTGCATCTTCCAAAACAAGCCCAACAATTCCTTGAGAATTTTTGACAATATCCTCCGCGTAAATGCCGGTTGTTTCCGCCATGTCAGTTTGCAAGTGGACGAGTGGCCAAGCCTTAGCATAGGTAACCAGGCTTCAAAGAAAATTGGCTGAATAGGACTGGATGTGAATGTGGCTACACCGTAGTTGCATTGAAATCTGAACATTTACAAATAAAACCCAAGTCAAACTAAAATTATTTTTAAGTCTCCCACAAATTAAGGCAGTAAATGGCAATTGTACTGTATGACATAATTTATATTATAGTATAAGGAACTTTTTTCCTTAGTTTACAAAGATATTCCATGTTATAACCTTCTCATTAAATTTCGCGCGACTCTATCGGCTATTTAACGTCACGTGGTACAAAATCACCGGACAGTTATCACACAAGAACCCCCGTTTACTTGAATATTTACCTCAAAATTTCACATTTTCCCTTGAAGCTTCACTTCTCAGCCAAATATTCATTTTTCGGACGGCATCTCAGTCACGGACATTATCAGACGGCCTACCAACCGCTTGAAAGGGCTTATTGACTAAATAAACCAGGAAAAAATAGGACAGAGTTAGGGTGCTGTTTAAGTACCCCTGAAGAAAATGTACGATTTCATATTCTTAAAAAAAAAATGAGTTCGAGAAAGATGATGAATCATTGTGCATTGTTTGATTGTAATAAATAATGAAACTGAGAATATTGCGCTTGAATTCCTCACGTTTCCGTTAAATACTATGGAAACTAAAAACAACACGTACAAATTTTACTTAGCGTCAAAAAATATCGTGCCTTTAGACACATCGTAAAGTAAATAATGACTCGATGCATGTTTAACGAGGATGCTGCAGAACTAATACATGGTAAGTAGGCCCGAAATCTTTGCCTTGAATAAAAATTTATATTATAAAGAACGATAGCTAAATTTTTTTATTGACTGCCGTCATTTCCCAGCGCATTGAAAACAAAGAGAAATCCCTATTAGAAAGGTAATGGAATTGGCTTTATGGATGTTTCTCTACAGTACATTTATTTGTCTTTCATATCATTGTCTTTTGATCACTCAAGTAACAAAAACAATGATCCCATTTGACTGAGAAAAAAAAAAAACTTAGAACACCTGTATAGATTTAGACTTTATTAATAGAGCTATATACATGCAAGCAGCCACAGCAGTGGGAAGTTGTAGCAACCGCAAACTGAAGGTGAGTTTCGCGATCTCATCAAGAAAGGACCGCAATCTATGTACTAAGCAGCATCTTATTGAGATTCGATAGGTAGCGTGAGTCTCGATTTTAGAGTCTGAAAATGAAAATTGTATGAAAGGATCTGAATTCTCGAACAAGCGCCTCGAGTGAGGTGGGAAATAACTTGTTCCTGCTTTTTCTAGAGTTTAATTGAAGAACGCAAAGAAGTGGCAAGGACATTCGTCTTCTATTGCACAAGAAATTTGGCTTTGAATCCGGCACCTGCAGGCAAAGACACCTGATTGAAAAGTAAGTTTTCCAATCATTTTTTTCCGTCGTCTCCGAGGGTTTTTCATGTCCATTTTAATGAGTTTTTGTTCATGTACAAAAACGAGCACGCAACTTTCAAATTGGGCTCTGCTGTAAATCCTGAGCATTAAAAACGAGTTTTTAAACTCTTGGCTTCCCGTGGGTAAGCACATAAACAATTATCTTTTCTTTTTATTCATTTTTTAATTTCTCCATGAAAATCCAGTTCTACTATGTTATACAACCTTGTCTAACAGACTTCCTTAGTGCAATTGGGTGGTACCTGAATTTTGCGAGTAAAATACATCAAACGCAACCTAATAGAAACGGTCGCATGACTTTGGCAACAAACGGCAAACGTCAAAAAATTGAAATTCCAAAGTAAGAATATCGCAGTTATGAAAACGATATTTTTTGTTATTTTTTACGGAATTGGATAATTGAGAAGGTGAGCAAAATCAGGGTTACTATCCGCCGATTTTCAAAGTCGTGAAAGTCGTGATTAAACTCAGTACTGCTAGCGTTCACCGTGAGAGCAGGCTGTGAGAGACTTGTTCACTGATCTTATATTGACTTAAATTTCGTGCCCTTCTCTACTTAAGTCAGAAAAGTTTTAATTGTGAATAAGAGAGATATTGCTACTGAAGCTGTCATTGGTTAAATAAATTTAAGACCCACAAAAAGAAAAAATTAATTACAACAGAACATCCGTTAAAAAAAAAAAAGATAAATGGGCAAGCACAAAGTATAACATACAGAGATGACACATTTCGTGCATACTGGCCCGATAGATAATACATAAGCCTTTATTAAGCTGAGTGGGCCATGCAACGAGATCATGAGCTTGCCAAATTAACCTTAACAGCAGAGACTTGAAGATGCCATGTTATATAATGTGTAAACTTGCTCCTTTTTCGACAATGATGGACGCTTCATATCACTTTTCTGACGTTTTCTGTCCTCTCGAGCAAACATGACTTATTTCAACGCATAAGTCATGTAATCAAGAGAGATGTAAAAACTAATTGAAAGTTGTGATAAAAACAGTCGTTCACGGGCAACAAAGATGTTGACGAAAGAATCTAATCCGAAACTCCATTAAAATTTTTCCTGAGCGTTTTAATTTTTAAGGAAATTAATCCACAAACAGATTCGTGGCACTAAGAAATTTAAAAGAATGGTTTTTACACTTGCGAAAGAATATCAATCGTTTTATCATTAAAACTTATAATTCGAGTCCACAACAGGTGGGAAGTGAGAAATGACTGCATGAACATGTAACTTCAGTGTTACCGAACTTCTTAAGTATCCATGGCAAATCTGAGTTCAATTGTTTATGGCTATAACTGTTATATCAAATTTATGCCAAATGGCTATGAATTTCAAATTATTCCTGCACTAAATTAATTAGATTGGTTGTAATGGTCTCAAACGACAACTTAGAAAGACGGAAAAGAGACTAGTTTTGAGAAATTAAGATATAACTCCTTGAGTAAAAATCATTCTTCATCGTATAAGTTGCGGTTCACTTTACAGGTAGGTACTGCTGTAATATAATCAGGTATGTGTTTTAACCTAAACAACGCTAGTCTCAGGTTATTTCAGTGAAACTCAAGGTAAATGATTGATTCCAAAAAGAAACTTGTTTACAATTCATAATATTACTACCCGACCATGATTCAGATTGAACCTGAAAATAATCTGTAACAAATACTCAAGTAATTGTCATTGGACTTCAAAGTGACGTGTTGACTCGAGAGAACTAAATGAAACGTGACATTTAAAAAAATTGATCACATTCATTGCGAAAGGCCTAACAATGATTTATCCCTCGACCACAGAAACTTTTTGCAAGGCAACTTGACCATCCGTGCTACGATCATAGAAATTTCTAACTTGACTGATGGAGAATCACTGTATCATGATTCTGGGCATATTTCAAATTAAAGTCGATGCAAATCGAAGTTTCCAGCAGACATAGTGGAATTCACATCGGATGGACCTGAAAATGGGTGAATAGGAAAAAAACAGTTTCTAAATGAAAACTAGGGTAGTTGACCAGAGTCATTTTAAGATAATTCCAACCGATAAATAAGAAATTTGTTGGTACAGTCTGACAGGACTAGAATTGCGGTTGCTTCGGCGCTGAAGGAAAAATAGCTCACGGTACCCTTCAAGTTGGGAAAGAGGTCATTCCTTTACTCCTTCACCCTTTAATTCGAATAAGTGACCAAGAAACAATTTCTCCTTAAAATATCAATACAATATCCAGCAGACAAATGATGAGAATAAAGGAAAATATCAATTAGGGGATTATAAGTTGATCCGATATCAAATTCTCCAGACTAGCATCATAAGAATAGTGTGACAGAATGTAAAGAGAATTACCAATGAGATCTTGGGGTTGAAATGGTTAAATTATGCGGGTATCAGCGGTCATCCCGAGGGGTCGACCCCCGGGCAACCCAAGGGCAACCCACGGGCTTAGCAGGGGATTTGTAGCAAAGGCATGCCCCGCACGCGGGGCATTAGAGCGCTTTTGCGTTTTTGGCAAAATACCCCAGGGCCATACCCACGGGATTTGCACGTAATCTGCTGTCTCAACGTTCAGCGGTTCTCGCCACAAGACAAGCAAGCTCGCTCGCTCGATGTTCTTCTAGCCCTCGAGGTAAGTCATACCATTATCATTCAAATTAGATATAAATAATGAGCCATCCATTGTCAGAAGACAGAACAAAGGAATGAACAGGCAACACCGACTATATGTTGCCTAGGTTGCTCCAGGGGTGGGGGTATTTGTCCCAATTTTTTGCCCTACCCGAGGGGCTTTAGCATGTATTTGTCACGGCAGCTGTGACAAATGCCCCTGGGTGCCCGGGGGTCGACCCCTCGGGATGGCCGCTGATACCCGCATTATGATTGTAATTATGACTAAAAACAAACAGAAGTGCATCAATTCTTCGTTAACGGAAAAGAGCTGCTTCTTTGTAAAGAGTATTCATTTTTCCATTCAAGATGTATCAAGAACTCAGCATGAGAGAAATTATTTCAATTGATATTAAGAATTAATGAATTTGTGCTCCTGATTTCGAAATCACTTAAACATCTGTTAAAATGCCGAGCAATTGTTCGATCTTTGAAATCATTGCAACTTTAAATTCAAATTTTTTCTGAATCAAAAAATTTCTGGGAGCTTATTGTCATGATTATACTTGGTATAAATCGTAAGAGAGAAAACACCTCTCCTCCTGGATTGACGTTTCGTCAGCTTAAATAGAGAAATCAATACTTTGTTTTGATTTTCTTTGATTTCAGCAAACAAAATTCTGTTATTTATGGCAACACAACCTCGGAACAAAGAACCAGACCATTAACAATTCGATTACGTTAGTCAGTAGGTAGCTTGTGCGAATCAGGTTGAAATAGAGAAATTAATACTTTGTACTGATTTTCTTTGATTTCAGCAAACAAAATGCTGTTTATTCAAAATATCGAAACAAAGAACCAGATCATTAACAATTCGATTGGGTCGGTCAATAGTTAGCTTGTATGAATTCAAGTATACTCTGCGATAGTATGGAGCGACAGGTCGGAAGCAAACTGAGAAGTGATTAGTTAAAAAAATGCGCTTCTTCAATGTGTTCAGCAAATTCGGCGGTAAGCTCCTTGTGCATACTTCACCGAAGTAAACACAAGCTTCATTGTTACTAAAAGAAAGGCCTGTTAATCATTCGCTAACGTGTCTTTCTCTTTATATATCTGAGGGTGATCCAAGATTCCTAAAAGTAATCGGTTGAAATCAAAGTAAGATTGCACAATAACAAGAAAATCATTAACACCTCCGGGTTCTAAAAAGATTAGAAATCTGCCAAAATCGTTTTTAAACTACTGCTTAATCACAGCTCTTTATCTCTTGCAATATTTATACACTTTTCTTAATTCGTCATGTATGGATTAACGCGCCCAAAACACCAGTGGTTTAAAATCAAATGACGTCCGTAGCCGCTAAACATTACTATGCAAATTGTCGCACTGTTGATGGACAAAACCGAATATTAGCTCAGTTTCCTAGCTGTGAACGTGAAGTTTAGAAAATTTCAATTAACGTTCCCTTGTTATAGATGGAAAAAATAATTAAATTTCTCTGTTCTGATCTTGATGAAAATTAAATTATGAAAAGATTCAGATATCCTCGCTGTCGCTTGAGCATGCATCCTTTTTCCTAGCAGGAAAATCGCACGATTAAAAATTTTCACGCTCAGAACCTATCAAAGGTAAGTTCTGCTGAAAACAAACGTAAAATGTAACGCATTAAATCTGTAACAACTCCAAATCAAAAATGTGTTATTCCTTAAATCTCAATCAAAGTTTTTCGAAAACTCCAGAAATTTCCTGACCAGAATAGATTGTAGAGAAAGGAAGCAGTTGATTTTTTTTTTTAAAAAAGAACTGTGAATTGATTTGCATAATTTTCCTCCCAAAGTCAGTTTTCGTAATTTCCTCTGATCTAAGAAATAACAATTTTGTTCAGATTGCTTTTTCACTGCCAATTAAGCGTGAAAATAAAGCCAGTGAGAATGACAAACAGTTTAAATAGTTCAAACAACCGTCTTTCCAAAAGAAACTTTATTATTTTGTCGGATCAATTTCAGGTTTCTTTTAATACTTCAAATTGAATATTACTTCTGTTTAGAACAACATTTGACATCAGTAACATTGCAATCCGATTGGATCTCGACGAAGGGTATTTATAAGTATCGTATTTTTCGTGACACATTATAGTATTGAATTCTGCTGGGATTAATGAATTTCTGACTTCAACATTTGTACTTTGATTGATAAAGGTAATTGCTGGTCTATTCTTTACACCTTTTCACAATCGTAGGTAATTGACTAGATGAAGAATGGATGAAAAGATAACAATACATACAACGTTGAAAACATTTCACTTAAAAACCGCCTGACGACGGCGCCGCATAGATTGCAACAGAGGAGAAACACCGACGCTTGGACAAAGATGTGTGTTCGCAGTTTAAGTTTTCTTTTTACCAGCTTTCACGTCTTTCATCAGGTAAGCCGCCCAGTTCTAATCATGCCACAAATATGATCGCATTATTTAAATAACTATTCTCTAAAATAACATTCATAACAAGAATCAAAGGCGAAACGTTCCACGGGTATGACTTTCCTTTTCTGAGTACAAGTTTCCGCGGTCTCGATTATTTGAATTCGCTTCGCTTCGTGTGACATTGTAAAAAAGTTTGTCGGTGTGGTCAGTTTTATTCCTATTCCGTCAATTGAAGAATTATAATTTAAGTTTTGCCTTGATTATACTTTAGAGCTGACCGATTTATGGTAAACTTGCAATAATAAAGATATTTTGACTCGTGACACGAAAGTTCTTATCCTGGGACTGATAAATTCCAATTTTGTTTCTACCCCCTTGATTCATTCAAGTGCTTTTAGGGTTACGTCATTTTTACGATTGCTTCAAAAATAAAAGGTTCCTCGAAGTTGATTGCCAAATTTTTAAACCAAGCCATAGACTTTTCCGTAAAGTTTCATGAATTTATCCAATACAGTACTCATTTTCTATCGCGACTACGACTATGTAAGATAAAGTTAGATCGAAGCTTGCAGGCCACGAGATAAGGACGAATTGAGTCTAATGTTTTGGTTCGAGTTTGAGAGAAACTTTGACGCGCAATATTCCAATAACTGAAGAAGCATTTCTCAAGTCTTTTACGTAATGAACTGGGCGAAAAGTTCAAGATTTAGGTCACCCCTGTAAGGATATTGCTTGATTTATAACAATCTTAATATGTTATAATTTGGCACAGCTCGCTGTTCAATCGTGGTGGGATATAATTCTCCAGATATATTTACTGGTAAGGTTTCAGAGGATTGTTAATTCGTCGAAATTATTCGATAGTTACACTACAAAAAACAAGTGGAACTTTCAAAAGGTTAGAGTTCATAGGAATGACTTATTTTAATCTGCCAATGGAAAGGTGAGTATTTGATGTTACGAAGGCATGTACGATTTGTCGAACAATGCTGACTCAGAGAGTGGGTTTGGATACTAAATGTCAGTTCTTTTGACCAGTACAATCGACATTTTTGGCGGATTTACCAGACAAGAGCTTGCTGAAATAATAGTTGACGATAGAATTGTGTTCATGTCGATGTTGGTGAGAAGAAAGCCCGCAAATGATTCTCAGCATTTCGCTTTCGATCTTTTATTTCGAGATGACAAGACCATTACGCGTGTACCGCAATGACTGATTCCGATTGCGTTTTTTGTTCTTTTTTCTTGTCATTCTGTCAAATAAAAAAAAAACCCCTTTACTTAGCATGATGTTAAGAAATAACTGAAATACTACGGGTGACCATATTGGTCAAAACTTTTCGTTCATTGAACTGGTAAACTTGGAACTGTTTGACTAGAACAATAATTTATATTCTGTTTACTTACGTAATAACTTAGGCGGAATCTAAAGAGGCTTTGTGAATCAAGACCCGAAGGCGGGGACAAGTTCGGTTCAATAAACATTGTAATGAAAAACATTGTTCCCAAATTGTGTTCTAGAAAACAAACAGGCTTTGTTATATTGTTATTAATTTGCTGAAAGGTCTAGACAAGTTCAAATTTGTCGTAAACATTCATGATTTACATTTAAGTTTTTGAAAGTGTTTTTTTTCTTTTTTTTGTCCAAAATTGTGTAAAACACCTCTGTAATAACTCATTGATGGTTTTGTCTTCAGGAACTAATTTTTACGAGAAGTTAGAAAATCAATAGAAGTTATTGGTTCTGGTACACTGAGAATTCAAATGAAAAAGGCCTTTTGTGGGTAATTCTTATAGTTTTAATCTCTAAATATTTTACAGTTCGAACGAATCCTGCAATTTCTTCCATAAAATTGTCGGCGTTTTAGAATTTGTCCCAACAAGACTAAAATAAGGTACTCAATATTGCATGAAGCTTTTCAAAACCTGTGTCACTTCAAAGATTCTGTTTATTGTTGTCAATCGACTCAACCTCAGGAACAACGCTATTGCAAACGTACCTGACTTATAATAACTGAATCGAAGAAAAATATAAAAGGGACAAAAGCTTATTTAGTAATAAAATATTCGAGTCGTTTTCCTCTTTATTCTGGAATGATCTTATCACAAATTTTATAAGCCATTTTTTAATTTGGAGAGTCATTAAATCCACGCCGAAGACATTTTCTCCGTAATTACTTGTGTCACTCTACTGTTTAACAAGTGGAAACTTGACGCAGCAAGAAAATTGCTTGTAATCACCATCCGAAATTTTATGAATGGCCTTGTTTTCAATCACATTTACCTCATTATGACATTTTGAAAGAATTGGCTGGAACTTTTTCCGAGCGCACGTTCAAATTTTATGGTACATTAGCTTTATGATACTGTTCTGCGTTATTTTTTTTTAAATTAAAATTGAATAATTGTAAATGTTCGAGTTAAAATGCCCAATTTCACTCCCAAGCCTCGCTTTCGAGGTGCGACCTGATTAGTTTTACAGAAAAGTGTTCCCTATACACTGAAATCAAAAGAATGTTGACGCATAAACACAAGGAAGTGGCAAAGATTCATGAAAATTTCAGGGAAAACGTAGACTACGAGCAGTTTCTCCTTTTCGGCGAGGTCCGTAGCGCTAGCCAAAAAAAATCAGTGTTAAAAATATTGATGTTAGCGAGCTACGGGGAGCTCTTGGAGTGACGTTGATGCACCGCGAGACTCATTGAGCGAGGCAATCAAGAAGAGAAAAATTAATGTTCAGTGTTTTGTGGGATGTGAGCAAAAATTAATAAACGAGCCATATTTCACTGAGTGTCTTTTGAAATGCTTCTTTTTGTTACTTTTTGAAACAGATATTGAGTCTCCCATCAAATGAAACTGTCAACTTACCACCAGAATCACCAGGTAAGTCACCATCTCCTTTTTTTGTTTTGTTGTTGTTGTTAATGTTGTTGCTTTTAGTTTGAAATTGTAATCGTTTCCCTTTTAGGCAATTTGCTCCTGGGTTGTTATGAAGAGCAAAACAGTGAGTCGAACTTACAGAGACTCGATTCACCAACACCCTCGCCCTATAAGTGTATCGAGATTTGCGCGCATGCAAAATTTCCGCTGGCTGCAGTGCTCAAGGTCACGGAGTGTCACTGTGCAAACGACAGTGTTCTTCCAATGATCATGAAGTATCCTTGTAGCTCACCTGCCGCAGTGAGAAACTATCTACTTTACAATACCAGCTGCCTTTCTACAGTATCCGTTAAACTATATCAGGGATTAACGTTCACAGCATTTCCATCCAAGATAACGCCATCAATCTCCTCTCCTGTCACTCAATCAAGTGTGACAGCAGCGCATTCACTGTCAAAATCACTGCTTTATCTCATTGATTTTGGAGATGGTACGAGTAACAAAACTTGGCGAGAGGGATCAATCCTGAGACACCATTACATCACTCCCGGCGAATTCAACATCACTTTCGTGGCTTCTCGTGGTAACTCGACAGTCTTCATGTTGTCACGTAAGATCCGGGTGTCCTTCCTTCGAGTATCTAGTACCTGGTGTCCTCACGTAGAACCACTCACTGATTTCTATTGTAAGGCATATAAATTCGGTGGAAGCGGCGTTACCGCATTGATGTCACTGGGAAACTTAAATCAAACTGTATCAATTTCCATCCCAGGTATGACTCGTAATGGTTTACATGACAAAATACACTTAAAAACACGAAACACAACTTAGCAGCCTAAATACCCGGGTTTGGGACCAAATATCAGTGGCAAACATAGCAATTAGAGGTAACTGATTGATTTTCCTTAAATACTGCATAGCCTCATTTACTAAATTTCCAAAAGCTGAGACTAACTTTGAAAGTCATGTGGGTTCTATGAGCGGAACATTATTTAAAGGAAAAAAAACAAGAAAACGTTAGTCATGAATAGACAAGTTTAATTTTTGTTATTACTAATATGGTACATTACCATTTGCTGGTTTTCTTCTAGACGTGCCACGAGTAATTTTAGGACATACGGGACCTTCCCTGACCAACCAATCGGATGCCAAGAAAAGAGAAGCTGGCCTGTATTTATTCCCATCTCTTCATTTTCTATCGAACGTAGAAGTAGAGGCTTGGGAGGTACATGCTGAGCAGCCTGGTCTCATCCATTTACAGGTTAGCTCTCGATCAGTTAAGTAAGTGCTTTTTAGTTTAAAAGCTCTTACTTGTTAAGTTGTTTCTATCGGCTTGTTTTGTTGCACTTGTCATTTCTTTCAATGCACATTTCACCGCAATCCTCAACGGTTACTTCTTTACTTAGATTTACAGGGCGGCATTGAACCTTACGGGCTGTTCATGGTACCGACGAACTCAATCATCCTGCGGGAAATGGGCCCCAACTAGCGATCACTGCAATACGGTTTGCATCGATGTACATTACTGGCAGTATAGATCCATCATGCCTTGCGGGCAAAGACGCAGCAGTTATATTAAAGTGCACAGTGTGAAAGCCAATCTTACGGTGGGTTATAACTTGATTGTTATACCAAAGGAACAAAGGTTTACTGCACGGGTAGGAGACATTGTGGGCTTCTACAGAAATTTGTCAGGAGCTGTGCTGCGACGAATTACCGCTGAGCAAGATGAAAGTGTTTATTTTATTCCAGCGCGGAATATGTCTAATGTTTCCATACATCTTTCAGGAGCCCAGCCTATGAAGCTATCTTTTGATATAAAATTGCACGGCTCACTTGGCGTGGCAGTTTCGATCGTTTTTTCATGTTTAGAAAAGGCTGGACTCTATCCTCTAATAATGACTTTTACCATCGCTATCAGCTCCCATAGAGTGATAACGTTCCGATCTTCAATTATGGTTCAAAACCCAGTGGCACCTTTGCGCCTGTTATATGAACAGTTCATTGAAGTAAATACCACAAAAAACATTACCGCGACGGTGGAAGAAGGCACTAATGTAACGTGTGAATGGTACATTCCTAACTCAAGTTTGACGGTACATCAGTCTCCTCATCTTAAAAACAACAAAACCACCGAGGGAGGAGTTTTCCAGTATATTGCTTTGTACGGCTATCTTGGATATGTTTACGTAAAAGTGACTGCATCTAATCTGGTCTCTCAAAAGAGTGAAGATATCATTCTTTCTGTGCGTCAGCCGATAAAAGGTTTGAGAGCGAGCTTGTGTCATGCTGCGTTTGCGTTTGAAAAAGCGGAAACGTGTTTTGTTTCCGACGCGACGCAAGGCACTGAAGTCGGATGCACGTGGGAATTTGGGCCAGATGATTACACCGCGAGGGAGATGGGTAAAACTGTCAGTCGTGTATTCACGTCAGAAAGCCAAACGAATTTTACTCTGCACTGCTATAATAAGATCTCACAGTCGTCTGTCCCTCACTCTATTCAAGTTATTCCAAATCCATTGTCCATTAACGCCCCTCTGAACGTCCAAGCTGATGTTCCCGTGAAAATAACTTGTCGAGTGAATTGGCCCGGGGGGATACCAGCCTTATTTTTTGAGCAACAGGGGGTGAAGGGGATGAGGGGAAGTGACATTGTGGCAGATCCTCTGTTAACACTGAGGGCGTCTGGGTACAGCAACAGCAGCAAAGGCAATGTGACAATGTTTCAAAGTTTTAGCAGAGCTCCATACAGACGACACAAAATAACGTGCAAATCTGTTGGTTATCCTGACTTGAACATTGATCACGAATTGAAGGCAATTTACAGTGTAAAAGGAATAAACATCTCTTCGGACTGTGCTTTACAAGCCGAGATCAGAACGAAATGCGTATTTTACGTTCAACTCTTTCGCGGTGATTTTCCGGTATTTACTTGGAAAATCCGAGAATCTGACAATTATTCAACTGTCTCTGTCTATAAAGGAAAGAAAATCACCCATCGCTTTGTCAACACAGGAATCGCAAACATTACCGTTAACGCGAGTAATGATGTGTCCTTCCGCACAAAAACAGTCCAAGTCTTTGTGTATTCAACCCACACGCACAGTACAACTGTAACTGGGTCGCCCCCTCTTCCTGTCTATCAGTCGTCCACACTTTCAACAACCACATCACTTTTACTTCCGAGCTTTAACAGCGTTATTTCTTCGTATTCAACCTACAGTGTAGAGGCAGTCACATCCATAAGACCTAGTGTTACCGTTTATAAATCTTCATCGGTAGACCGACATCAGGTGACTTCGCTAGAGGATGTCACACTCCGTCACGCTTCTGTCGGTTTGGTTGGTCAGGCAATCGTCTTCTCTGTAGAACATTTTACAAATCCTCATCTTTTACACTTTATGTGGAACTGGGGTGATCGATCAAGCTCAGAAAAAGCTGGATCTACTTTATCGCACACCTTTCATCGTCCGGGACAATTCTTCATCACAGTGAATATTACCTCTGCGGTTGATAATGTGGTGTTAGCTGGTCACGTGAGCATCCAGCATCGCCTTAGTGATTTGCGTATCAGACACTTAGCTGTGATGTCATCCAACCTCTTGCTTTTGGAATTTGAAATTCTGCAAGGAGACAACGTCACATACTCGCTTGAATATGGCGATGATAGCGGTGAGAAAATCATACATGCTATGAATTCATGGAATTTTCCTCAACAGGTTTCAAACATCGCCCAAGCGAGCTCGAAATTACTTCATTGTTATTCTCTGAAAAGGTTACGTCTCAAACTGAAACTCATCTTAAAAATGCTCACTGGCAAGTATGAACGTTATCGCCCTAGAAAAGCTATTACCATCATAACTAAGGAGAGCTTTATATCACCAGGATATGCCGATAAATTAAAAAAAACCGAGAGTTCAAAGCAAGTCGTATGATTTGATAACCTAGCCGGGCTTTAAACTTTGACCTCTTACATACTCTTTTCTGCATTCGCAAAACACCTCGCCTGGCAGTTTGGTTCAACGTGGAGAAGGGAGAGACACTCACGTCCATACCTTTTAAGGATGATAACACATAAACAATTTATCATTTTATAACCTAAAAATTGTTATCTTTACTGATGTAAGAAATGATCAATATTCTGTTAAAAGAAACTTAGTCACACCAGATTTGTACTAACAAATACTACATGTTTTCTTCCAGAGAAGCAAGTGGGATTTTTACGAACGTTACCCAATTTTGTGACAGTAACTCACCAGTACAATGAGCGTGGCATCTATCGTTTGTCCATTACAGCCAACAGTGCTGTCGGCCCTAGTATTTCAGTGCAGCAGTCGGTTTACATCAGTGAACTACCGTGTATCATACATGAACTACGCATGCTTGGTGCTGGAGATAACAGCAGTCACTGTCCTGAGATTGAACAAGAGTACGCGTATTCACTTTACTCTTCTCTGAAAATAAACTGCTCGAAATACGAAGAACTAGAATATACGTGGAAGATAGACAATATATTGAACGATACCGTCACCAGGGTTGTCCCGTTATCGAAGGAAGTTCTGTCTTCGAGCGCACTCTTTCTCGAATCGCAATCACTCAGGAATGGTCTTTACAAATTTATCCTGTCAGTAACTGCAAAGCCTCATGGGATATCGAAATCTGTAATTGGATTTCTACGAGTGCGCATGCCGAAACTGCTGGCTGTCATAGACTGTGGGAGCAAAAGAGTTATGCCTTGGAATCAAGACATAATTTTGAATGCTTCGTCGTCACGTGACCCAAATGAGTTGTGCGACAGCCAAGGCAGAAGTGCTTTGTCATTTGAGTGGTTTTGTGACACCAATCGTAATGTCTCTTGTTTTAGTGGATCAATTGATAACAGAGGGCCCGCTTTGGTGTTTCCACCGAAGTACCTTGATCTCAATAGAAAATATAGGTTTGTTGTTGTAGTAACCAAAGGATCCAGAAAGGCTGAGGCAACACAAAGCATAGAGGTTATGTCGGGCAATTTCCTTCCACTTTGCGTCAGGTCGGTGGCAAGTTGTCATGTGCTAATCATATTAAACTTAATCAGAAAAGCAATGGGCTTGAATTGATATATTGCTTTAGTTTGTGCATGTTCAACTAGCTGATTTTTCTATTCGCAACACTGTAAGACAACCGATTAGAAGTACTTAATCGTTAGCATTAATCGTTAAAGGGCTCCATTCTTAATCGATTCAATCCATGATTCCGAGGCTGGTTCAAAGTCGTGTGCACCAGAAAAAACCATGAACTGCATAAATAATGACGCCAGTTAAGATCCCAGTGCGATCCTGGGTGAGTCAAAATCTCAGACAAGATTTCAAAATGTTGCTTATTGTAAAATCCTTTCAGAAAACGTTTAGACTGTTCAGGGACGGCGGATTTAACGAAGAGAGGGCTTTTTCTCTCTTTCCCCACTTTTTACGAGGACGGCATTTTTATTTTGTTTTGGTATAAGTTACATATGAAGTATAAAAAGGAAAAAAAACAATCCTCCACAGATTATTCCCCGAGACCACGATAAAATTTTTAGGGGATGGATGGCCCCCTGAATTGAAAATTTACTTTGCCGTCCCTGCTGTTATGTACATTCTGCCTTTCCATAAAGCGGATTTTCCTCCCACTAGAGTCCAAGTTTGGCTTCATTTTCTTAATAATCTAAAAAAACTCTTTACTCTCTTAACTACTTCTTTTTCATGCAGATGCAAGGAAAATTGCGCACACAAGTTAGCGCCCTCCAAAGAATTGGTCCTTGATGGTGTTGGTTGTCAAGACGATACGAACACAACCTGCATTTGGGAACTTTACGGACCTCCCCCAGCAACTGGGCGGATTTCAAAACGCTCTGTAGGTGAACAGTTAATCAGCATTTCTTACGCAAAACAGTTCCAGCTGGATCCGAGAAACTTGATTCCGAACAGGATCTACACAATACTCTTCAACAACGACAACAGCGGCTTCTCGGCGCAGTATTCGGTAATAACCGACATGTTTCCGACTAATGGATCTTGTTTCGTGTCGCCTTCGGAAGGCCAAGTAATCGAGACACAGTTTATCATCAGTTGCGCGGGTTGGAGGGACGAAGACAGCCCTCTTCGGTACGAGTTTTTCCTCGGAAATCCCGAGCAAGGACCGATGCTGCTGTACTACGGGTGGATGCCGTATTCCAACGGATTGTTCCTACCCCCAGGATCTAAGGATAATAATCACAACGTGGATCTGTTCGTGAAAATTTCAGACGTTCTGGGATCTTACAGAATCGTTCCCCTTCAAGTGAAGGTGTGCAGTTATGTCGACCACATAGAAGTGGCTTTTAAAAAGACACTCTGTTACTTTGAATCAAGAGTCGAAAATCGTTTAACGTTTCGTTTTTCTACAGGTGACAGGTTTTGGTGCCGAGGCTGATTCTGTTAGCTCAATTCTGAAAGGAATTGTCTGCGGACCTGACTCTATGCTGGAGAAACTTCTCAAGGTCGGAGAATTCCAACAAGCGACACAGCTGATGACGACCGTCGTCACGGTTTTAAACGAGGTTTCTTCTCAAGAGCTAGCCTCTGATTCTGCCGAAATAAATGACCGTGTGGAGGTTGGTACTGAAAACCCGTGTACACTCACACAAGCCTTGCACTCGAATTTAAGCTTGAATATGAATTTTGGATTCTGCAGTTTAGTACTAAAGCAAGTGTGTTCATTTTGTATCGTGTCTATTTAGGTCCGAAGTACAGTGATCGCTAGACTTTCTCAGACGTGCTGTAGTAGTCCCCAGAGTATCAGACAAGCTTTAGATGGAATCCTTCAAGCCATTGGAGTAACCGCTGAACTATCACCTGAAGCTCTGGTGAGAAGCATTAATTTAAGTCCGTATAAGTTTCCTTTTCCGCTCAAACGCTACCAAAATTTCCCTTCAAAAATCAAACCAAGTTAAAAAAGGCTTAACGTAGGAAAGACGCACAAGGGGTGAGCAGGTAGGGGAAGAAAGCATTGCCCAGTTACGCCGTTTTTGCGCGTAAGGGAAACCCTAGTCTCGAATAAACCCCTTCCATTCAAATATAGACTAAGCAACTAGAAAAAACATCAAAAAAACGCTAAACTAGCATTTCATCCATGCAGTATTAAGGAAACCGGGAAAATTTCTCTCAGTGATATAAGTCAGACGTGTAAGCATACGATTCCTATAGCAAACAGAAGTGGTATATTTGGCCAACTTAATTGAACATTAAAGCTTTAGAAGGCTGTTTTCACTGTCGCAATCAAGCGTAGCTTCGATGCAGATTCTCAAGCATTATAAGTTAAATTTTCAACCTCGCCCTTGATGGTGCACCTCATTGCATTTCTTTGATATCATTTTAAGGAGGATAGTGCAATTGTTCTCTCAAACATGGCAAAAGCATTGGTTATTAAATTCAAGAGCTTCCAAGCAGCAAACGTGACCCGGGAAATTATTCGAGGCTTGAGCATCATCTTGGAAGCGTCTGTGTCTACAAGCAATGAAGTAAAACGCCAACAGAATTCTGGTGAAATCAAAGACTGGATTGATGATAGCAATGAGGCAAGAAACAAAGACCACCAAGAAAAGGTAAGGCTTCTCTTACATTTTAACACCTTCCCCTTTTAAGTGTTCCCTAAAAAGTGATCAGAGCTATTTTCATTGTACATGTTGCATCAGTTTGCTTCATGGCGCTCTGTGAATGATTCCTAACATTTATGAAATATTCACATGAAAGAGGAACAAATCTTACATAAATCAGGACTTGGTTATGAGCGTTTTCCTGCGCTTGAGATCGGCCACTTGACCTTTTTACCTGTTCTTCCTTTGCATCTTGAGCGCTTCTTGGTTGAATAGAGCTAAACCCAAACTATAGCAGTCATAAAAGCAAATCAAACTAAAAGTTGGCATCAGGAAGAGCTAATGGGAACTCGAAGCAAAAATACTGTGAGCTTGTAATTTTTTTAAAGGGCACTACCACTTGAGCAAGGTATTTTTTTTTAAATACTACAAAACAATCCAGTTATAGGATATTGAAATTTTTTACTTCAGTGTGAACAAGCCACTAACAAGTCCCTAGAGGGTGTCAATTATGCTGCGCAAAAACTATTGGACTATCAACGCAAGGGAGATCCTCCGAGTCACGTGTCCTCAAGCTTGATGAAATTGACCCTTACTCGCCAGTCTCCTGGCGACATAAATGACGCGGCGCTGAACGGAGGAGAGGTCACTTTTCAAATTCCGCACGAAGTAAAGAAAGACAGACTTAGTTCTTTCAATGCAGTCAATACAAAGGTCAGTTTGAAAACCATTCAACACGATTCCTTTGAAATTATACAGGTGGTATAGGTGTACCTTACTTGAAACCAGCAGTTTGATTAATGTATTGGAACAGAGGAGATCGCGCAATCTGAACCGGTGAAAACCTCGAGGCACAATTATAACCGATTTTGATTTTGCACTTGAAAAGTTTATTGGAACATTGAAATTGTTCTTTTTGAGATTCACTTTGTAAGTAAGGTTTCTACAAGGGTGCGGTGGGGGGGGAGGGGGAGGTGGGAATCATAGAGTAGATCTGATTCTCTTTGGCACGAAAAAGTTAATGATAATTTTGAGCCAAAATGAACCAACCAAATGCTATCAGATTCTAGTGTGGTTCCGATGTAAGCCATTCCTCCCCTTTTTTTAGCAGTTTCTACCCTCTTCTATTAATCACTTTATCATTGTAGGTGATAACCATGTCCCAGACCCCGTTTATTTCAAACGACGCCACTCCTATTGATACACCAGTGTCAACACTTGAGCTTTTGGAGACTTCTGGAAAGGAAATCCAAATCCGGGATCTAACAGAGCCTGTGTCCATATTCCTGTCGCTAAACCAATCACAGATTAAGGATCGTAACAATATGAATGGTATCATTGATCCTGAAGAGAACATCACGTTCTTCAAGATCGATTCCGATAATAAAAGCGCACTTTACTTTACAATAAACTGTTCTGGGGTCACGAGCGGCTACAAACTAATTATTACTGGAAGGAGAAACTCGAAGCCTAGCACCAACACCTTTGACTTCCAATGGATTATCGCCTCGTGTAACACCACTTTAAAACGACTCATATCGAGAAAGTATTTAAATACTTCGGAGAAGCTCTACCTCGGTGTGAAATTGAAGAAAGAAAATGAAACAAATATCACAGCTGTGACAACTAAGATACGATATGGCGTATCTGTAATGGCCATCGGCTGTTATTACTGGAGCGAGAAAATGCAGGCGTGGACCACAGATGGTTGTGAGGTAAATGGGCTGGTGGGAGGGAGGAGACGGGGGTGGTTACCCAACACTTTCATTAGTTCTGATCCCTATCTCTGACGTAGATGCGGTCATGACTCACTGACACACATTAGTCCCACATGTATCTTGTATTATTTTGTGTCACGCTATCGCCACGATGACATCCTGATAGCCTGACACAAATTGCTGAACCAGTTAGTTCGGTTGGGCGACATTATCAAGTGTTTTTTTCGCGCAAAATAGCTTCCATGAGGATATCTCAACGCGACACAGCCATTACTGTTTTAGTAAATATGGGAACTGATATTGTGGTTGAAGAGAAACTCTTTCCGAGAACAGTCGTTTCATTCGTTTGCAATGACTGATCACACAAATGTGTTGATTTCCCCATGAGCCAGTTTGTGCATTCACTGCTTGTGCAAGATTTAACGAAAGGTCAGTCAATTTGATGAGCTATGAGCTACAAACCTCAATTCATTCAGAAATTTATTTGTTAGTCGTAGAGTTACACCCCTAGACATAATTACTTGGGACACTTTTCCAGAACAACGCGTACGATGTTCTCCTGCTTCCTTTCCCCTTAAAATATTTTCAATTGCAAATGGTTCCATGGCATCTTGCGGAACAACTTTGAGAGTAACAGGGAAGGAAGTAAATGTCCTAAAACGTGTGTCTGGAAATGTAGCAAGTTCGTTTAGGCATGCTAATCAAAGGGCTTTTAATTTATTGAAAAACGTACAGGACGCACGTGGTACAGACAGCATCTCGACGTTTTTTAGTTCTTTCTTAATACCATAATATAGGCTATGTAATTGGCGCAGGTAAGTAAATCCCAAATTATCATTTCAGATTATCATCAGCCAATCGCAAACTTCATAAACAATGTGAGAAGTATAAACACAGGATTATGTTAAAAACGTTTTTTTTTTTAAAGGTTGGTTCAATGACCACATCAGAGCACGTTGAATGTCGTAGTAATCACTTAACGTGGTTTGGAAGCCGTGTTTTCGTTCCTCCCAATAAACTTGACCTGGATATCATAGCCAGCAGAATATCAGACCCCTCAAACTATACCCCAGTCCTTTCTGTGCTCTGTGTCACGTTTGGTTTGTACTTCTTGGTTGTCATCTGGGCTCGTCGCCAGGATCGTAAAGATAAAAATAAGGTATTGGTAGAGGATAGAAAATTGAATCAACTTTTTTGTGTGAAGCTTCTTTAGAAGAGTGCTATCAAATGGAAATCGTTTCCTTTAGCTTCATAGCAATCACCGCTGGTTGTTAGAAACAGATGATCGAGTAAGCTAAAATTTTTTGGCATAAGGATGTACTTTTCACGAAAATGCGTCACTTAGGCACAAGGGACATCTGTCGATAGGTAACAAATAAACATAATATTCAGCGCGTCAAATTACGATATTTTATCCGTTAGCCCCAGCCAACGTGTCGAAACGTGTTAGTGTCCTGTAGAGAAGGGGATGGGCTGAATCAAGCAGATATTAGAGTTTCATCGTTTCCATCATTACTCCTACAGACAGGCTTAACTTTGAGCCCGAGCAACAGACCAGGAGACACACACGCCTACGAGGTTGTCATTTGTACTGGCATGCGCAGACACGCTGGAACAACTGCTAACGTTGCCATGACTTTAACAGGAGAAAAAGGCGAAAGTCATGCATTTCTGCTTAAGAGCAGTCACCGAGTGACGTTGGCTCGAGGTTGCATCGACTCGTTTCTTCTAACGACCCCAGAGACCCTCGGCGAGCTTTCGTATATCCGGATGTGGCACGATAACTTCGGTAAGGATCCGGCTTGGTTCGTAAAGCAGATATCCATACGTGAGGTTGACACTGATGGAATCTGGCACTTCGTATGTGAACGTTGGCTTGCAGTAGACGAAGGTGATGGTATGATTGATAGAATATTTCCAGTAACAAGTAACAAGGAGTTGAAGGAGTTTCGACGTTTGTTTCTGACTAAAGCTTACAATGACCTTACTGACTCGCACCTGTGGTTTTCGGTTGTGTGGCGGCCCGTCCAGTCCCCTTTCACACGGGTTCAGCGCGTGTCTTGCTGTCTGTCCGTTCTATTGTGTACCATGATGGCCAACGCCTTGTGGTACGAGAGTGAAAGTGGCCGTTACAATGCTGTCCAGTTCGGTCCTTTTGAATTTTCATGGGAGCAAGTTTCCATTGGAATATGCAGCAGTCTTATTGTGTTTCCAATCAATTTACTTTTGGTGCAGATTTTCAGACACAGCCGCCCGAAGCCTACACAAAATCATTGCTGCTTAAGGCCAAAACCCAGACCACGATTCTCGTCTATTCAAACGGAAATCACTACAGTGAAATTTGGATCTGGGGAAGGCTCTGCGCTTTGTATCCATTCCGCTAGTCAATACCAAAGTGAAAGAAAATGCACTTCTCAGGGATCACCAAAATACGAAGATAAAGGATTTAGCCTGGCATCTGCTCTACGTTCTGCTCATTTTCCTGCTCTTTCAATATCTTTAGCAACAGAGACTCCTCCTGATTCAACCTCTGATTTAAGATCTCTGCTAACAAGATACTCTCCATCTCGGCAGTCACCCACAAACGACCCTGAGAAGTCGTCGAATGCACCGATTGCAGAACACCCTTCCCATAAGAAAGGACTGCCTTGGTGGTTTGTCTATATTGGATGGTTTTTGGTTACATTAACCTCTCTAACTGCTGCATCGGTAACATTGTTGTACGGGATCCAGTTTGGTCTCAAGAAATCCACACAATGGCTTCTATCCATGTTCTTTTCGCTCACACAAGATATTTTTGTGAGCCAGCCGCTCAAAGTTGTCTCTTTCGCTTTATTTTTCGCGTATATCTTTAAAAAGCCCAGCAAAGTCGCATTTTCGCCAAAATCACAACTCAAATTTGATGAAGAACTGTTGCAGAGGCAGCTTCAGGGTTTGGAAGAGGACTTCGAGGAACGCACCGAGGCCCCTCCTATCAAGGTGCCGACAGAAGACAGTATCAGGCGTGCCCGAGACAGGGCACAAAAAGAACGCATGATGCACGCTATATTGCTTGATATAGGGACTTTTCTCGTATTCACATTACTTGTTCTTCTCATTGCCTATGGCTTCAGAGATCAAAGCGCTTTTCGTCAGAATGACGCTGTCGCCAAAGTTCTACTACAACAAAAATTTAGTGAGGAACCAGGGGGGTTTAAGCCGCAGAGATTCGCTCAGGTAAGTTTCGATTTGTCCTCTTTATCAAGGGCCTTACTTTGAATTAAACATATCTAAAACTATTTTGTCTTCCTCTATAGAAAAATTCCTTTAGTCAATTTTTGTCAACTTCTTTTTGTTCCGAGTAGTTAATTTTATTTCACTCCACCTTCGGAGTGAGTTTTCAAACGTAAAATATGAATGAATTAAGGATTATGAGGCCTACTTTGCTATAGATCAAGCGCTTTGGAGCCTTTGTTCAATCAGTTATTGACTGACTAATGACCACTTCAATGCCACTTCAACGTAAGACGCAACAAGCTGCAGCAAAATGTACTGTTACGTATTGATAGCCTTGCTTTAGGCAGAATTAAATTTCTCATGCTGGGTTTGTCTACAACGTCTAACCTTCAATTGCGCTTTCACAGTAGCCAGCTGGTAATCGTCTTACGTTGACACTGTTATATCTCCTCTCAATTCTCATAACCTTGTAAGACAATTTAGTAAACCTTTAAGAGTTTTGCTTTTTCCTTTCCAAATATTCGCGGTATTGACATCGACTACAAAAACCATTCACGTTCCAATTTTCTCAGCTTTAGATGAAATCACTTTGTGCAGCAGATCGTTCCAGCTCTTGACCTGATCCGGTTATTTTCGGTGAAAAATCAACTGAGTTACAATGTTTTTAACAAATTTCTTTTTCCTATTGTCTTTATATAGATCATTCGACAGAGAGATATGTGGGATTGGGCAGAGCTCGCAATGCTTCCGACACTGTACAACTTGCCATCGTACTTCTACACCGGAAAAGCTCCGACGTTTATGGAAGGAGAAAGCGGATTTGTGGTGGGTGTGGCTAGGTTGCGACAGCACAGGGCAAAGAAAGGTGAGAAGAGAAATATAAAGATAATAGTTTTTTCCTCATAGATGTATACAAAATAATTTCTCGACATTTTTTCGGTTAAAATTTTTGCGTAGTTCTAGAACTGAAGAACATCGTAATATTTATCAGTGATTCTTCATTCATGGATCTTACTAAAGCCATAACGGTTGGAGCTAATCTTGCAATGTTACACCGTCCAGTCTAATACCATCTCTCGTTTCCTTTATTCCTCATTGAAACTAATGAGTACGAAGCAACTTTACGAAGGGATTTCAATTCCCTTAACTCTCTCCTAAGCCCTCTATTGATGTTTCTCTCTCTCATACTTAGATTCTTGTCGTGTGGTCCCCCAAGTACAAAATTTCTTCTCAAGGTGCTCCTCACAGTATGGAATGACTACAGAGGAAGAACAAGCTTACACTGCTGGCTGGGGGTCACCCTCAAACAACTCTAAGACTTCGCTACCAGGTCCCTGGAGATACAGCTCTGCCAGCGACTTAGATGGCTACCCTTACACGGGTGGTGTAAAAACATACTCGGGAGGGGGATATGTGTTGGAACTGTCTCACATCTATTACAAAGCCTTGCGACAGATCAAGGATTCCAGGGCTGCGCTCTGGTTGGACCGCCATACACGAAGCATATTCATCGAGTTTACACTCTACAACCCAAATAGCAACTTGTTCTGTGCGGTAACGTTTCTGATGGAGGTATTTCCAACAGGAGGAGTTTTCCCACATTCAGAGGTCCTTGCCTACCGCCTCTACCGTTACGTAGGTGATTTTCAGTTGTTTATTCTCGCCTGTGAAGTCTTTTTCTTGATATTTGTAATTTACTTCACATACCGAGAGGCTAAAAAGATTTACAAGACAAAGGGAAGGTACTTCACAGAGGTGTGGAATTTGATGGACCTTGCTGTAATGATTCTCTGCTGGATCGCTCTGTCGTTTTATTTCATCTGTCTGGGATTGAGGAAGTGGACTTTGCATCTTTATCGCCAAAATCTCATCAAGTTCATTAGTTTCCAGTACCTTTCAGCTTGGCAGCTTATGTTCGAAAACGTGGTTGGTGTAACTGTGTTTGTCATTTGTCTCAAATTTATCAAACTGTTGAAATTCAACCGGAGAATATTTCTTCTTTCCTGTACATTGCGACATGCAAGCAGAGAACTCTTGCAATACTTTATCGTGTTGATCATTGTCTTTCTGGCATTTTCGCAGCTTTATCATTTTCTTTTTGCAAGCAACTACGACTCTTTCAGCACGCTGATTGGCTCCATGCAGAAACTTCTCAGCGTCCTCTTGGGACAATTTGACTTTGAAGAAATGATGGGATTGCACAAGATTCTTTGCGCGCTGATTTTCTTTCTCTACACCATCTTGACCAATTTCTTGTTTCTAAACCTTCTCATTGCCATCATAATTGAATCTTTCGAAGTAGTAAAACGGCAAAATGACCAAATGCAGAACGAATTTGAGATGCTGGAATTTATCATGATGCACTTCAGAGACCTCCTAGGCATACGGGCACTGAACAGAGCCACTAAGGAATCGCAGTTCGCGTTTTCTAACAAGGCCATGAACAGACCACTGTATGTGAGTAGAAAGAAACGTACAGAAAGGAAAGAGAGTGCTAAGCGGCTCGAGAAAGCCTTAGACAGACTGGCATGTTACGTGAATGTGATCAACGATATCGAGAATGAAGATGACTTGCTTTGCTGTTACATATCCCGGAGAATTCGTCATAACTCTTTAAAAAAGGCAAAAACTGCTGATTCTCGCTTATGACAATATGCTTTTCTCTATAAACTTGAGTTACCCCCAATAATTATTATTTCAACGGGCTGAAGAGCAATGGAAACTCAAAACTGCCTGTTTGTGTATGAAAACACCTACATTTAGCGATCTACATCGGGCACAATCAACTAGAAATCTTGATCTTGGAGTAAGAGGGTTGAGCTTAAGGTCTGGTTTGAAATAAAAGGAACACGATCTGGGAACTGAATCAAACAAAACAACGAAAACAAAGCCGACAAAGCTTGCTGATTACGCATCGTTAAGTTTTTCAAGGATTGCCAATGATCAACCTGGTAGAAAATTGCGACACTAATGATCATGTGCTCGCGGGGGAGATTATGTGAATAAAAGTCTTTCGTGTATATTGTGCGCTATTTGTGTGATGATATCATTTTTCTATTATTCTCGTAGTTTAATTTAGGTGAGGTTACGTCTATAGAATTAATTGGCATATACGTTTGTGGCCGACTGATTATAGAAGATAAAGGGAAATCCATATAAAAACACTGTGTTCCATGATGTTTGTTCGCGGCAGATTTTGCAATTTTGTTTCACTATTCAGGGTAGGGACCTGCCTTCTTATCTTTAGGGTTGAGGCTAAATTGTTCTTTTATTGCCTTGTGTTGGTCATCCATTCAAAAATGACAAATATTGTGATTGGATCATTTCTGAGTCGAAACGAGGCATATGAAATCAAACATTACTGGTCACAAAAGATGGAGGGACAAAGGGTCACACAACCCGAGAATAAGCATTATACCCACTTGGGACTAAAAGCGTCTCACACAGAGTCAGGTGTCAGGCTGTACTGAATAATTACGAAAATCAAAAATGTATTCATTTTTCCAAAGATTTTTCCTGCAGGGTTTGGAACTGGCCAACACCGGCTAATACTGCAGAGTAATCGCGTCATATGATGAGACCATGACTCTGTCTCTGCGTGACTTTTATTCATTCATTCAAGGAACGAGTCTGTATTCCGTGCTTTACAGTTGATTGTAAATCTTTATTATGTTTTCCTGTGCTGTCTGTAAAATATTTCGTGATGGTCACCCATCGCACAAAAGGGAAAGCTTCTGGGCTTGGATTGTTAGCTTCGCCGCTGCAACGAATCTGGCTTTCACCACTGGATTGGTTTATAGTTTTGGAGTGCTCTTGCCGATATTCATGGATCATTTTAAAGAAAGCCGAGAACGTACAGGTAATCTAATGACTTAACTAGACATGTAATTTTTTAAAGTTTACAATCTCTCGAGACGCTGATTTAATTTGCATCGATGGCATAGGTAGCCCATATGGCATAGGTTGCCATACGACTGCTTCGTACCTCTTACGTAACAACAGTAATATAAGGGTTTTGTATAGGGAAAATAACTACATTTAGATACCTTTTCGAAATTTCTCCTCAAATGAATAGTCGAACCCACTCCCGTATTTTGCTTCTTTGTCTCCGGTCTGATTTACGTGGAAAAGAGTGGCCTTGGATCGTCTGAAAACCTAGTTTTTCATTTGACTACGTAATTATGGCGATTTCTAGAATGTCACGCAAGCCTCCGTTACGTTACTTAACGAAAAACAGTTGCGATTGAGGCAAAGAATACCGGAGCCAAATACGACAAATACCAACTTGGACAAAAGTTAAGAACAGCAGAGAGCCAGGCAAATTTGTGAAATTATGGTATAGTAAGGGGTATACTAACTCTGATTGTAGACGACGAACGTAACAAATTTAACTCGATGAACAGCTAGGAGGTAGCGTTAGCACGAGGCTGCCATGTGACTACTCAATGCCTCTTTAGATCAGATATGAGCGGCCGTCACCACCAAAAATACAAGGATGTCAAATAGGTCAGCAGATACAAAGCTGGTTTAAGAATCAGCTGCAGGATAGAATAGCTAATAAATGAATGGCATGGCCAAATTATAAACGGTTTAGTTTTCCTTCATGAAATAAAGTTGGTTAAGTTGAAAAGCAAGGATTGCTCGTAGTCTAGTCAGATATTTAAAAAGCCTTCGAGAGGTAATCCCGGCTTGCTTTGATCAAAATTAAGGTCGATACAAATTGGTTCTGTGTTGAATAAGACGTTGAGAAAGAGCACTTATTTCCATTCTCATATGGCCAAATACTTATGTGTTCGGTCCTTGCACGTATTTTTTTTATCAGGTTTATTTTGGATGTTATGAAATACCTATATGAGGAAACTATCGTTGTTGTCTTCCTTTCTAGCCTGGGTTGGTTCGCTACCTATCGCCCTGGTGCCGTTCTTTTCCATATTTGCAAGCTCCTTAGCCAATCGATTTGGCTGCCGAACGGTCTCTGTGACGGGATGTATGGCATTTGCGCTCAGTTTAGTGACAGCTTCATTGGCTAAGAACTTGACCGTCTTGTACGTAGCCTTTAGCGTTATTGGGATTGGGGCTAGTTGTGCATTAGTGTCAGGTTTAGTAATGGTTCGAAAATGTTTTGACAAACGCGAAGCATTTGCTCTTGGAATCGTTTCAACGGGGCAAGGCTTGGGAACAATGGTTCTCAGCCAAGTTCTTCAATATCTTACTGACGCTGTCGGCTGGAGAAGTACATTGCGGATCATGGCGGGTGCTTTAGTTTTAAACGCATTGCTTGCTTTGCTTTTTGATTCTAAAGTGGACACAGAAAACTCTGAGAGCGGGGAACAGCTTTCAAGTGAAGAGGATGGACAGAGAAGAAAGTCCAAACGATTCACATTCCATTGCTCCGTATGGAAAGTTCCCAGTGTTATTGCGCTTACAATCACAGGAGTGTTCTTTATGTTTGGTCGTTCTATAATCTATGTGCTTGTGGTAGGTAGCTCTACACCTCTTACTATAAGAATGCGAGATCCGAATATGTGCGTTATTGACCAAGTGAGGTCAAGATGGATATTGGCCGAGTTCTTTACGCAAAAAATACGAGGCTTATATACAGCTATTTTGACCGAGAGTTTGGTCAATAATAGATTATTACATAACAAAAATATTTTGCTTTATTACTAATCAAGAATAACTTGCTTATTTCGAGAGCCAGGAAAGAAAGACACGTGTTTGTAGCACAATAAACCCTCTAGATTCGTTTATGTTTCATTTTGTTTTGACTTCCTTCTGCCGCTATTTGCAACTCCATCGTCGACATTGTCCAAAAATAACCAACTCTATAAGTCCCCTCCATTCTTAATGTATTCTACACTTTTTTTGAGCAGCGGGCGGGCTAAGCCTGGAGAGTACAAATAGAGATTTCTCATTTTTTGGCAATACTGCCAACCGTATGGAAACAAACATGAGGCGATATTCAGCAATGTTATCGTTGCTTAGAGAGAAAAGAAAAACATTTCTACTAAGAAGCAGCTTAGGTAGTTTGTTCAAATTGCGAGATACACGAGATGTTAGCAGCAACTGACAAAAAAGTTTAAGTAAAAGTTTAAGCTTTATGGTGATTGAAAAAGAATCAGAGACGGTTGAGTTTATGGATGGTTGAACCCCACGTGCGGAGTTGACACTGAGGGAGTAGATGGTGAAGTGGAAAGGCAAAACAAGGGGAGGATGAAGCGCTCAAGGACTCCCCTCCCCTCCCCCCTGTTAACTTGGGGGGACAAGTTATCATCTTTCACTTTTACTGTTGTCTCGCACTTTGTTTTACATTCTCAGGTGAAATACTCCGTAGATCGTGGGATGTCTTCTGCAGCGTCGTCAAGGCTCGTTCTTTTTATGGGAATCAATATTGTTCTTGGCCGATTTGTGAGTGGCTTTCTGTGCTCCATCAAACGACTCGATAACTGGTTTATTTTACAAGGCATGGCAATCACAAACGGCGTCTCGACAATGCTCCTTGCCTTGGCTAACAGCTACGAATGGTTAGTCGCATATTCCGTTATATTCGGGTTTTGTGACGGGGCAATGGGTGTATTGGTTAACATCATAGCTCTGACATGCGTAGATCCCTCTAAAGCAGGTTCAGCCTTTGGTAACGTTTTGCTGGCGACGTCCTTTGTGACATTAGTTGGACCTCCTCTGTCAGGTATGGACAATACTATGAAAAGAAATTGAGAGACAACCACGGCTCTTGAATTTATATTTTAAGTCCTTTAAAGTGCAAGTTCGTGTCATAAAAACGCAAATTGCATAAATTGACATTTTAAATCCACTATAAAATTCCGGCTTCTTGCTTAGCTGGGCTATTCCTCTCAAATGTCTCATAGATCGCTTCTCTTTTCAGAATTTCCAGAAATACGCCCGCACTGTGTCACTATTTTCGTCGATGTAGACGTGTCTCTTTATTCTGTGTCAAAACATCTAGGCAGTAGAAGAGCTAGACGTAATTATCATCAGTTTGTGGGAGAAAAAACGCTCTGAGTCTTAAAATAACTCGAATATTATACCCGTTAGGAAAAGGCCAAGCCTGTTTGAGTGAGGAATTTGAGCTGGAACTATCAAGTTTTTCCAACAGAATAAACGTGTTTTGTCTTCTAATATGGAGATGTTTAAACGTAAAAAGTTCACTTTCTCGAACAGATGGCTCAGAAGGAAAGGTCTACAAGAAAGTCACGGTCGCTAATCTTGCTTTGTGCGAAAAGAATGGACGATCAAATCCGGCACTTGGTGGGGCATTTTTACACAGTTTTGGCCTCGGAGGCGGGAATTTAAACGAACCAATCTTGAAAAGATCAAATGCACGGAGGGTTACCCGGAAGGGGATGTAGAAGCTTCAAATTGATGACGCACTATTCGTGAACTGTTCCATTACAATCTCTAATTGCAAGCATGACACGTTTATTATCCCAGTAATTATCACTGAGGTCGGGTCGCTGATAAACAATTATATTCGAGAATCTTGTCAGAGCTTTGATTATAATGGGTTGATGAATTTCACTCTTAGGTTTTACCGTCGACAAACTTGGCACATATGGGCCTGCATTCTTCATGGCTGGCGGTGCTCTTATTGTAGCTTCGTTTACTCCATGGATACTGTGCTGTCTTAGAGAC